CACATTGGCACAGTTCTGCTAGGTTTAATGGTGGCACATTGGCACAGCTCTGCTGGGTTTAATGGTAGACATTGGCACAGCTCGGCTGGGTTTGATGGCGGCACATGGCACAGCATGAAATTTACACACAAAATTTACTACGCAGTCTCTGGTGCCCCCTCGTGTGGCCCCTAATTTCTTCCCAGGGGGCACCAGAGACCTGGGAATAAATTTCGTTGCAGTTCTGCATATTGGCCATATGAGGGGGCAGCAGGGACCGCGGAATGAAATTCCAATGTGTGAAAACACAGAAAAGAAATTGGGGGTAAGGGAGACGACGAAGAAAACGAGGAAAACTTCAACAAAGCCAGCAAACCTGCACTCAGTGCTTATGAATATCTGTCAATAAATAAATAATAAATAATCAATAGAAAATTGATGTTGTCGTGCTTTTTATTCTAGTTTGTTTTCAGCCAGCGTCATCAGAGGTGATGAAAAACTCAGTGTCAATCTGACAGATGTGTGCAGCAAAGCCAAGGATTTGCTTTTGGCACCGAATCCCAAACCCCACAGAAGCAGGGAGGCTGCAGTGTGCGTCCTTCCTGCAGCCCCTGCAGTCCTCGAGTCAGAGATCGCTGATGTACTGCAGTGCCCCATTTCTGCTTGGAGCGACTCGCAGCGGCGGAGCAGCTCGCAGCGTCTCGGAGATTCTCAATTGCGTTACAGGTGTGCAGCAGCACCGACACGAGCATGTGTCAGGAAAGCAATACATATGAGCAAATCCGGGCTCTGTAATGCGCTATATATATACATGCTGGTTTCAGCCATGCAACATGCATGCACCAGCTGCAGCGCAGTAATACGCATGCGCCTTCCTGGACATGGCAATGCACATGCGTCAGTTTCCTCACCGCAGTGCTCATGCGCAATTCTCCTCACTGCAGCGCGCAAGCAGCAAGTCCCCACTGGACTCTTTTTGGTGCGAAATTCACATCTGTTTTTGCGTGCTCGTTGTTGGGCACAGATTGGTTACGCGGGGGCACCGGAGAAAAAACTTAGTTGCAGTTTCGCATATTGGCCACACGAGGGGGCACCAGAGACCACGGAATAAATTTCGTTGCCGTTCCGCATATTGGCCAGATGACGGCAGCAGAAATGGTGGAATAAATTTCGTAAATCAATTATAATAACATAATGGCACTGATGACATTTGTAACATCATCATGCCAGCATCCCAACTGCCTGCTTTAGAGCTTTCTTCTTCATTTTGTCTTACACTTTGAAACTGTATTTGCTCATTATAAAACTAAAAACACTCATTATAAAACTAGAAAACACCTCCAGGCCAAAAGTTATCCACTTCAATGGTGCTACAACCCTTCAGTGAGCATATGCATCTGGAGTTTTTAGCGTAGGCTTTTAAAAACAAAGCAAGAGAATTTTACACCCAGAACAAAGGTATGCAATGATGAAAGGCACTCAAGCTCTGCCTGTAGGGTAAAAAGTAGTATAAAAACAGCTAAAGAGAGGGGGGAAGATGAGGGAAGCAACCATTGGAGGGAGGTCAGAAGACCTGATCCTTCTGGGATCAGTCAGCAGGCAGAGCCTCTCTTCCCCCAGCAGAGATACCAGCCAGGAGAGAGGTGCACGCGCGCAGTTATGCTGAGTGCTGCCCTGGGGAAAACTCAGAAATCTCTATGGATTTGTTCTCTACCTCAGCATGCCTGGGGCCAGGCTGTGCTACTAGCAATTCCTTGCACATGCTTTGCAGACAGTGCACTTGTGGGCAGTGCAGAGGATTGGTGCAGCCATTGCTTTGACAAACTGCAGCATTCACAGATTGAGCTGTGGGAGCTCTGATCCAGCACCACGAGACGAATAACGAGGAGGTGGTGCAGCAGCTTCTGAATGCTGCTGGACAAATCAGACCATGCACTCTTTGCAAGTCTGTAATTGTGATTGTTTATTGACTGCAATGAGGCATGGAGTGCCGAGTTGAGTGGCACTTGCAGTGCTGCCCTGTAACTGCCAAGGACTCACCTTTGCATGTGCAGCAGCAGCTCTCAGAGAAGCCTTCTTCATTTCTGCTATCCTCTCTTTTTGTCTTTTTTTCTTGCTATAAAGCAAGTAAAAAGATAAATTCATTTTGTCAACAGCAAAATTGCAGAAACATGGGTACCACAGAAGCAGATAGCAAAAAAAAGACAAAGGAAATTTGTCTAGGAAGCCTCTCAGGGAATATTTCCAGTGGGGCATACAGAAGACCAGTATGTAGTTAATGGGAAAAGATGGGCTTATTCTTGCTTTGAACTTTGTAGCCTTCAACTCTTTTCCGCTCTACAGAGAAGGAAAATGCTAAGCAAACCCTAAGCAAACTCAATGTGATTGATAAGAGCAGCAGCTCACCAGGGCAGGTACCGCAGCACCTTCTTTCCTCTTAACTTTGAGGTCCATAACTGCTTACGTGGCGCTGGATCAGGCCCAGGGTGTACCGCTGGAGCTGGCACACCATCTGTGCTCTGCTGCATCCTCTGAGCATTCTCCCCTCTGCACTCTACCTTCACTTGTTTCTTGGCAGGCCACAGCTCTGCTTTTTGTTTCTCTTCTTCCAAGTCCTTGCACTTTCTTCCAGCCGGTGTCTTGGAGAAAGAGTGGATGTCAACTGCAGGGAAAGGTCTTTCCCTGAGCTGGGACCTGCCCTTCCAGGATGCACTCCAGCCTGGAGAGGAGCTCCCTCAGAACAGACTTCTTTCACTGCTTTCATGTAGATCATAGAATGGCTTGGGTTGAAAGGGACCACAGTGATCATCAAGTTTCAACCCCCCTGCTATGTGCAGGGTCGCCAATTGGATCTTAGATCAATTAGATCTTTAAGATCTTGCCATTTGGCTCAGAACCTCTCTCTGCTATAATCAAGAAAGGAGAAGCAACAAGATTTGAAGAGTTCAAAACTACTTTCAGACTGCAAAATGGGCCACAGTACTAGGAAATTGGTGTGTTCATGGTAACGGATCTTAGGATCTTGGGTGAACTGTGGGTTCACGTTTCAAATCAGGACAGGAAAGGTAACTGTAAATCCCAGGGATTAAGACCTGAAGCAAAACACAACAGTCCCAGGGAAGGACAGAAAGCCTATCTTTGATGCTGTGCCACACTCTGTGCTCCTCCCCTGCACTTCACAGGAAGACTGCTTTTGCACCAGCTTCTGACAGAAAGGAAACAAAAAATACTTGAAGAGCATCTCCTCAGAGGAAGATTTTAGCACAGTCAACGACAAACTTCTGGTCTTCAAGAGTAGTTTCTTCAATTTACCTTTCTGCTGCTAGAGTGTTGTGCCATTTCTGCAGTCAGCACAGATCTGCAGTGCCCTTTCCCCTCTCCTCCATCACACGCAGGCCTTCATGCAGCCCTGTTTAGAGGCAGTACCTACACCACAGCTCACAAGAGCTTCTTACCTGGGGAGACTTTCCATTTTCCCCCACACCCTGCACCATCCCGTGAATGCTCAGGCTCCATCCCTGCAACAACAGACTGTGTGTTGATTTCACAGACACCAGGAACAGCGTTGTCCTGTTAGCCCATGTCCACCCCCCGAAAAACAAAGGGCACTGTTCTACAGCCAGAACAGAAACTGATGTTTAAACTGCAATGCACTTACAAAAAACATTACCAGTCTTGTTCCCACTCAGATGGCAGGTGAACCTCAATCTGCTTGACAGCTCTAAATTCTGCCGAGCAAAAGTGCATCAGCAAACAAAATGCTATCTCCTGCAAAAGACACATTTTTTGCCTCTCAAAGTCTACATAGTGACACTTGTTTTGTCATTACCCACAGCAACCACCACCAACCAAAACAAAACCATAAACCTCTGTTTGTCATTACTGCCAAACAAACAATGGCCACCACACAGAAAGGAGAGATCACAGAATCCTAGAAGGTCTGGGTTGAAAAGGAGCACAACACTCATCTTGTTCCAACCCCCTGCTATGTGCAGGGTCACCAACCAGCAGCCCAGGCTGCCCAGAGCCACATCCAGCCTGGCCTTGAATGCCTCCAGGGATGGGGCATCCACAGCCTCCTTGGGCAACCTGTTCCAGTGCCTCACCACCCTCTGTGTGAAAAACTTCCTCCTAATGGAAGAAGATGATGGCTGGAGATGATTGCTTAGCCTATTGTTCTTAGAATTCCCATTGAGAACTGCTGTTGGCTGAGTAAGAGCAGAGGCTCCCGTTTTCCATCTTAGCCCATGTTTCTGCTCCCAAAAACATAACTCCTCTTTGACAGCCGAAACACAAACCAATACGTCACTTCTCACTGCTCCTTCCTGCACCCCAAAAGGAATGGTTACTTGACATCCCCTGCAGCACTGCATCTGCTCAGAAGTAACATTCAAAATTCATTCTTTCTTCATGACAGAGAACTGCAGAAACTCTCTTCTGCATGGCAGTAAGGACGGTCCGTCCCCATCGCGTTCCTCTGTGTGCTGAAAGGCGCTGTTGGATCTCCGGCAGCCCGCTGGCTGCTGCTCACAAAAACAGGGAGCTGCACCACAGTGCTTCTAAAGAGAGAAAGGAAGAAATGTTGGTGGGAACGGGCAGCCAAGGTTTGCAGAGAGGTTCCAAGCTGTGCCAGAAATGGGATATCAGAGTGCTGAGACATAACTTATTGCTAAAGGAAACATTTGGGAGCACATTCACAACATCTGCAAAAATTATAATTACTGGGCACAGTTAGTTTTCCTATGGCTCAGCTGGAGGAGGCAGCTGCTCTCAGACATCAGCTCAGGGGGTTCAGCTGAGACACCTGCACAGTGCTGGGATAATTCTGACAGAAACAATGTCTTCAGATACCACAGTTAAATCCATCCAGAATTATCGTGCAGTCTTTGCTCTTGATCACCACTTCTTCCCCACCTTTCACTACTCCAAGCAGCTAGAACAAACTTCTCATAAGAAATCTAGGGCAGTAGGGAGCTGGCAGACCATAACCAAGCACAGCTTGCAGGAGCTTGCCCACTTTTTGCTACTGCCCTGCTCCAGCAGGTAAAGGAGTCTGAGTCGCGCTGTCCTTTTGCAGTTGAGGAGAAAAGATTTTTGACAGCTAATGCCAACATTTCTCACTAAGATACACCTAAGGCATTGAATTCTCTTCCCAGCACCAAACCCAGCTCACCTGTATGTTCTGGTCAGCCTGAGCTGTGCCCAGCTCACGCACACGCTGCAGCAGTGCTTCTGACGGTCTCTCACAGGGTGATCTGTTCCAACGAGGCCCAAAGCTCTGCTTCCACATGCAGCATGCTCACCAGAGCACCAGCTCTGCTCACCAGCTGTGGGACAAATGCTCCCTCCCAGCAATGATTGCAAAATTGGTGAGTGCCCACAGCACTTCTGTGCTTTCAT